CGCGTCCTCGGCGGGCCTCCCGACACCACCGTCGGCGACGCTGCTGTCCTGCGCCCCGGTCTCTCCCGCGCCGAGGGGCACAACAAACCGTTTAAACATTTCAGCACAAAACCGGATCCATTGTGGGCCGCACATTAAAAAGTGTTATTCGCTTTGAAGTTTTTGTCTAATGGCTCTAAACTGAAAGAAAATGTTTTCCTATTACTTAATTCAATCATAGCGAAGAGGCTTGGTAAAAAGCCCACGGATTTTGCCCCAAAGTGTGACTGAGTTCTCTTTGTGTGCGCTTATCCTCCGCTGTCACACACTTTAATTCGCCTCTCTTTATCCGGCATTCAAAACTTTCTTCAATGACATTCAATAAGGTCCAGAGGCTGGAGGGGGTGGGGGTGGGGGGAGAAAACTGGTTATTTCTCCCCCCCCACCCCCATATTCTTTCCCAGTAGCTTCGGCCTTGCTCACATTCAGAGCCTCTTAACCCCTTCCTCCCCGGCCGTGGGGCGGCTCGCGGGAGAACTGGGCACGGCATGCTCCCCGGCTCCCGGCTCCCGGCTCCCGGCTCCCCGGCTCGGTTCTAGCGGACCAGGCCAGCCCAAATGTCCCCGAGAGCAGTTGGAACCGGCCTGAGGCCGCACTGATGCGCGCGGTCGGGTTGCAAGCTTCACCCCGGAAGGGGGGAGCCTTGGGGAGGAGACGATGGCGTTGGGGACAACGTTTATCCCTCGCCACCCGCGCATGCCAGACACTCACGGAAGCTTTAAACCCTCACTCTTACTGCTCGAGGACGTTCAGGTTATTTCCCCCACTGTCCCTGTCCCTTCTCCAGAATCGGTTATTTTCTCGCAAACCAATTCTGTTTGCTTTTCAATCAGGAACGATTTGTTGCTGTGGTTATTGCCAAGATGAGAACCCACATGCATCCCTCGCTTTGGGACGGTCTTTCCCTGCACCGACCCCCCTACCTCCCCCCCCTACCCCCCATTTTTCGCAGTTCCATTCAGGGTTTGGGAGCAGGTGACTGCGGCGATTTGCTTGCAACCAAATCGAAAGTAAACGTCTTCCGTGAAAAGTCTCGGGCTGTAAATTCGAACTATTTATGCTAATTTCTCATTGTATGGAAAAGGCTCCTGGGCCAGCGGCTTTGAGCCCGCTGATGATTTAAAAAGCCGTGTACACAGCGCCAGGCGTTTGAAGTTGTTTAACCATTGTATGGCCAGAAAGAAGAGAGACTCGGCGGGAGGAGGTCTGGGGGAAAGGGAGCTATGTTAGGGTGGCCGAGGGCGGCAGAAGCCGAGACTACAACTGCGCCTCGCGCGGCTCCCGCGGGGACACTTCGGGAAGGCCGCGGTCTCCCAGAGCACCCGCGAGTCTCTGGAAGTGTGGGCGAGTGGTCAGGAGGCGGGTGGAGAGCGTCTACACTCGCCACGCCGGGTGGGCTGCGAGATCTCCATCTTTGAGTCTGGGCTCCCTCTCATTCATGGCCGGTCCCCTGTCTCTGGCCGTGACTCTCAGCGGCCGATTTCCTCTTGGCATCCACGGCTGACCCTGACGTTTGCAGGAAGGGGCTGGTGGACTAGCGTCTACCGAACAAAGACTGGGCGTTATCGTCAGCCTCAAAGTTCAGACTAGTTGAGGAGCTTAGAGCAAACAGAGGCACAGTGTTGGGGCTCAGAGCTGGGCAATGAATACCGAGTCCTCCTCTCTCTCCAGGGGCGCAGCCCCCCATCTCTGCAGGAGCCCCGGTCCTCCTGCTTCCCACACCGGCAGAGGGGAAGCGATTCCACAGGTGGATATCGGAGGCCGGTGGTAGGAACGCCGGCGGGGTGCACAGCGCTGAGCTGAGCGAACTGAGCGGAAGCAGCGCGATCTTGGGGGGCTGGGGGACATGAGAGAAGGCAGGGGGACCGGTACCAAGTGCGCAGAGAAGATGGGGGGGGCTGTTGCACGCGCCCGTGGGGATCTGTGGAAGCGAGGCAGCGGGGGTGCAAAATCAATAAGATAAACGGGCCGATCGCCAATACAAAGGCAAAGGGGAGTAAAAAATAAAGAGAAAGAAAAGAATATTAAATCGCAAGAGAATGAGAAAATAAACCCGCAAAAGGGAGAGGAGGGGGCGAGGGCGCCTGTTACGGCGTGGGTGGGGTTGACAAGAATAGAGTACATTATGCAGTTCATTTAGTTAACAAGTGAAATAATGAGGAAGCGTGCAGAGTGAATGCCAAGAGAAAAGGCACAAAAACCCTATTGAGAGGCCCGGGCCGCTCCTGGCGTAGCCCATCACATGGCAATAGTCCTATTTAAGCGGCGCCGCCGGCGCCTTTCAGCACCACTGGCGCT